CACACGACGCAGGGCGAGGAGCGCCGGAGACCCTGCGCTACAGCAGGACTACTTCAACCTGCAATTTGGAACCTACGGGCCGGCCATCCCTGGACCCGGTGCGTTAATCCATGAGAGCAGTGACGAGGAGCTCAGTGTCAATGACTCCGAGGTCAAAGCAAGCGATTCGGGATCGCCCGCAGCCAGCGTCAATGAAGCGAGGTGGGCTCAAGAAGATCTTGCAGATTCGCCCGTGCAGGATCAGCCCAACTCCGCGGATGGAGAGCCGGCACCACATCAATTTCTGGCAACTCACCCATGGAAGGACCCAGATCACGACTCTACTCCCAGATCAGTTCGGATGCAGCCATCAACCGCCAGCGCCGCTATGATGGAATACCAACGACGCGCTCGAGAAATAGATGCCATGTCCCGTTATGCAACTTGGGGTACGCGACCCATGAGTGAAATGGAAGTGAATAGTATTATCGGTGCGGGAGGTTCATTTGCCAATCTGTCTATCAGCCAGGACTCGAGCAAGAAACACGCAAGGCGGAGTAGCCTGATGAAGTTCTTCCCACGGAAACCATCGATCAGTGTATTAAAGAGGCCGCTGTCAGACCTGTCCCTCGTTGAAAACCAAACCACGAACAATGAGATCAAAAGTCCGCCTCCGAGAAAGGAAAGTTTCCCTCACCGGAAACTCAGCCTTGCGCGAAGTCCAAAGTCTCCCAGCCTTAGTACAGGTGGCGCAGTCATTGCAATTGCCGGCCAAATGGCGGCTATTGGAGGCAGAGACTCTCTGAGTACCATCTCACCACACTCAACGTCTAATCCATGGAACAAGTTTGGGCGGACGCGCAGTCGGAGTGAGATACCGCGGTCTTCTGCACCGGGTTTATTCGACTTGATGACCAGTCATGGAGGCCCGCCTGTTCCCACCATTGGCCACTCACAAACTTTGACGACTGACGATCATGGTCTCCAGCAGGTGGCGTCAAGTCGGCCTGTTGACACTGGAGATGATGAAGAGGAGGACGATGATACGGCCGAAAAAGGGCAGGTGATGGATTTTCCGGTTCTCGCCCGTCTGCCTGTGCCTACAACGGAAGGGTTCAAGGCTCAGATCACACAGCTGAATCCTCGTCTGGAGCCTGCACTGATCGACCGTCTCGCAAACGAGCAGGTTCGCAGATACAAGAAGTTGGTTGAGCAGAAAATGAACCATACTCATGCCGTCAGTAAGAAATCCTGCTCGGCGGGTAAATTCTGCTTCGCACAGGGTGGTGAAGCCGTGATTCTGGCCGCGCGCGCTGGACTTCACGACTCCGAAGCTACACATACCCAGTTTCAGATCACCGGGCACAGCGGACTGGATGATGAACCTCCCGCACTTGGAGAGAATGCTGTAACAGCGGCGCAGTTTCCCCCGGGCGTCCCATTACCGCCTGTGAAGCGTCTTCCGGCCGAATTCGAGTGTCCCATATGTTTCAAGGTGAAAAGGTTCCAGAAGCCATCCGATTGGACGAAGCATGTCCACGAAGACGTGCAGCCGTTTACTTGCACATTTCCGCACTGCAACGAGCCCAAGTCGTTCAAGCGAAAGGCGGACTGGGTTAGGCATGAGAGTGAACGTCACAGGAAACTTGAATGGTGGACTTGCACCGTTCATGATTGCCATCACACATGTTACCGCAAGGACAATTTCGTACAACATCTCGTCCGAGAGCATAAGATGCCCGAGCCCAAGATCAAGAAGACGAAGACGAAAGGAGTGGGCGCCGCATCTGAAACACAGGAAGAAAGCAGTCGTGAGCGAGAAGCTGAGCAGCTGTGGGAGTTCGTGGACCAGTGTCATCATGATACCTCCAAGGGCCCGCGGGAGGAACCCTGCCGCTTCTGCGGTAACGTCTGCAACAGCTGGAAGAAACTTACCGTTCATCTGGCCAAGCACATGGAGCAGATTGCCATGCCTGTTCTGGCACTAGTGCAAGAGCGACATCTGTTTTCCAACTTAGATGCTGGCGTTGCCCCGAAAGCAGTCAGTTACCCTGGCTCGATCGTACAGGAAGCCACCAGCTTTTCACCTGAACTGAATAGCATTAAAGTCGAGCCGGAGGCGCCAATGAATTTCAAAGCCGGACAATCCGAGCCCCCTGCTGGATTTTTGAATCCGACCTACCCACCGACCTCCACAACCCTGCATCAAGGGTTTCTATCCGCTGGACCAGAGGCGTACACTGCATACGGATCGCAGGCGGGCCTTGCGGGGCAGCATTTCGTGCCTCTTCATCAGAACTCTGTCACCTACCCGCCACTGCTGAACGCTGGGCCACGACCCAGAATAACGACTCAAGAGCTGAGCGTGTTGCAGAATCCGTACCAGCTTTGCACCTCACCTACAGATATGCGCGCGACGTATGATCCTCAGGGCACACTGCATATGTCACCCCCTCCGGTAGAGAACGGCCAGGCCTATCATGACCAGATCACGCAAGCCACATCGTATTCATACGACGGCTCCGTGGGTTATTCTCGCCAATTTTAAGCCAACATCCGCTGTGCTGGATTTGACATTTCGCACCGGAATCCTTGACTTTCAGCCTGTTGTTCCTTTCTTCTTGTCTTTTCTTTTCTCCCTCTTCTTTTCTTTTCTTTTCTCCCTCTTCTCCCTCTTCTTTTCCTTTTTTTGGCGCCTGATACCCCGACCGTACCATTGTTAGTATTCGACCATACTTAGGAAAGTGGTCTCATTTATGTTAGTGGGACTGCGTTCTCTATCGGCTTTCGGTTGTTGATGAGATCCATGAGAATTGATAGAAACGGTCCCCGGAACTGTACGGTCATTGTCTTCTCTTGAATGATCTGAACGGAATTTGTATTGATGAGGTTTTGGCGTTTGAAATGAGCCTGAGCCATATTCACGTGATCGATGTATATATACCGCCAGCTTCTCTCCTTAATATCTTTCTAGTATCTCTTATTTTTTTTTTTGTGGGATGCAGTGGAGAGGATCGGGAAGTTCCTACACCTCTTTGCTACATCAGATTGTGGGCCAGTTGAAAGCCTGTTACTGTTAGGGATGAATGCAAGTCGAGAATCGAGATATGACGAGTCAAAAGAGTGCCCGGGAAATCTGAGGCTGCATTTGAGATACACTAGACAACCCACGCCCCTATCGGTGAGTATCTACGGAGTATATAGTCTACCATCTGCGAGGGATGTTGCGAAATGTGCGCAGAATTATTGCAAGCGAAAAGGATGAAACAGATAGATAGTATTCAAATTTTCCCACATAAGTATGGATCAATCAGAAGCATATCGTTATTATTATTATTACTACTTGTTTCTTTTATCTAGGTCTATCTACTGGACAACCTCTATTTGCCCTCTGCATAAATAATGACGATGATCATGCCAACAGTAGAAAGTGTGTGCAAGCCCTTACAGGCACTGCCACTATTAGGCCAACTGGTGTGGTCGACATCTCAACTCATTTGTAGCCTTTCTTTTCCTCTCTTTTCTTTTTGTTTCTTGGCATTTGTATTAGATGCTCTTCAATTTCTGTTGTAGGGAGCACTGGCCATTGACATGTTAATATTCTTCAGCCTCTGAACATATTGGGAATAGGCGTTGTTGATCTCTCGTTCCAACTTTGAGCCTTACATAGCTAGGGCGCGCGCGTTCTCTCTCAGCTGTAAGCTGCAGTCGATAACAATGTACTCGGAGGAGTCTTGAACTGCGAGGAAAGGAATGCAGATCACGAAGTTTACGTGGTAGTTCTGATCCCGGAATGTCTTTTATTCGAAGTGAATTGAATCTCAGTGGGATTATTGTTTCTGCGAGAAAGGGCGCAAACATTCCATCATTCCTGGCACAACGTCGTGCCTCTGTTGTAGCTCAATAATATCTCGACCATGTGGGAAATGACAGGGAGGAGGTTGATCATCTCAATTCATCATTCTTGAATCCCGGCTGATCTTCTCTTTGTTCTGCAGATCGAAACTTGCTGTAGCCCAATTTTTCGTGGAGTCTCTGGCCTATACAGCAATAGCATCGCTGCAGGGTTACAGCATTATTTGGTGCGCTTGCTGCTGCTGCTGCTGCTGCTGTTGTTGTTGTTCTCTAACTTTTCAGACACATCTTGAACACTGAACCTTGACAGCCTTTTTTAGAGCATTAATGGTCTTCCATCTGGTTTTCTTCTGATCCTTTCTCGCCATCACTCACAATCTCCTCTCTTGATAATCTAATCGCGTGGGGTCCTCTTTCACCCTCTCCTTGCCTCCCAATCCGTGTTGCTCAGTGACATTCGCCTGCATCAACTACGTATCACGTTTCTTTTTCCTGGGCCGCATCAGTCAATGCAGCCCAAGACTGATTCACCTATCCTCATCTTCCTCTTGGTTTCTGACTTACTGCGGTCGTCAGTCTTCCCTCTTTTTCCCTTCCTGCTTATTCTTGCCAAGTAGCTTGACTTTAAGCCTTTAACAGATACTACTTGTATATCCGTCCTGACCCACACCGACAACGATACCTGACTACAGTATCCAGGCACTTCTATTTTCTTTTCATCTATTCCACTAGTCCATGCCAATCCTCCCCAGTCGTTAGCTCAGATAATCGTTTCGAGAAGGGCAGGAAATAGCGCAGTCTGGTTAAACCCCCTGCATTTGTATTCTCCAGCTCTTGGTCTCCCTATGCTCCACTTCCTACTACCTATATGAACTCTCGTTGAATCCCAGCGTGACACGGTTCTCCAGACTGTCAGCTTGAGTGGGTCGACTTTTTGAACCTCGTCGCTCGGCCCATATTGCCGATAGGGCGATTCTGTCCGTCGTTCGCAGCTATGAGTGTATGTAATCATTCATATCCTCTTCGTGAACGAGTCATTTGACCTCTCAATGCGACGAGAACATATAATGAAAAGGAAATGAACCGGACAAGCTGACTGTATCGACCAGGATTCACATTCTGGCAACCTCAAATGGGACAATTCCAATGATGTCCTTCAGGGCATCATGGGGACTCGGGTAATGCCGAATGCTTCGCCTGACCATCACCCGACAGACGGCTCGACAGCTCCCTCTCACGTCGCGTTAGGCGACCCGGCCTCCTTTCTTGGTATTCAGTTCGGCTCCGACCCGGCTGTCCTCCCTCATGAACATTCATCCATCCTCCACCCTTGGCTTCCATGTGGCAGCAATCGCCCATCGCCCTCGTCGTTGTCCCCGGCTCCGAACTACTTAGAGTACTACCAGTACCATACGCCTCAGTTGTTCAATCATCAGGATGCTTGGAATCCGCTCCAGGTGACTGGAGTCCCTCTCAACACATCGGCTTTCAATCTGCAGCCCATGGGAAAGCCCTACCAGATCAACGACTACATTGACCGCCGGCGCTCCACCGGACAATACAGCACCCACTCAGAAAATGATAGCCAGTACAACGGTCTTGCGTCGGGTGATTCGGGATACGGGAGTCGAAGCTGTACCACGCGCTCCATAGCTGCATCTTCCTTCGCGGTAGACTCAGCTTGCAGTCCGCACTTGGGTCCACATGAGTATGAACTGGACGATAGAACGTCGACGTTCGATCTGGGGCCATCCGCCTATGGCGAGGTCGCGGAGAAGACCGAACAACACAATGCGCCTTGCGATTATGAGATTAAATGTGATTATCCCGAGTGCAACTGGAAAGGGAAATGTCCATCCGACAAAAGGTTTGTCTTCGACAGCCACGCGCCGTGCAGACCATGCTGAGACTGACGGGCATAGGAAACACGAGGCAAGACATCGGAAGCTGTACAAATGCGATCAACCCAACTGTAGCCGCAAGCAGGGCTTCGGAACCATCAATGACCTAGCGCGACACAAGAAATGCGTCCACAAACAGGAACCGGAACGTGGACCTAAGATCCTATACTTGTGTTTTGGGCGCAATTGTCCCCGGAGACAGAAGAGATGGCCTCGACTGGATAACTTCCGTCAGCACCTCTTGCGAATGCACGGGGATGAAGACGCCGATGACCTTCTGAAGAGGTAAGATAGCTCTCTCCAGTTGGCTGTCTAACTCGGCGATATGATTCTTAAAGTAAATCTAGGTCGCACGAATGGTACAATAGTATCGCGCAAGCGAGTGAATTGACGCTTGCTGCTGTTGACCCCATGTTTGAGAAAACCCAATCTCCAGAAACGCAACTGCCAACTGAACAGGACTACGTGATGGAAGATCTGAGTCAGACTCCGTGTATTCCAAACGTGGCAGACGAGACGCTCATCGGAGCAAGATCGCCGGACAACGAAGATCGCGTCTTGAACCCCATCAAAGACACCAGTGAACAGGAACGAGATCAAGAACCCGTAGACGCCACACTCATGACTCCTTCAGATACAGTTCAACTGCCGAGCTTCGGCACGCCCAGTTTGGCTTCAGCACTAGACCAAAAGCCGCCAATCGCGCACCAAGACAGCAAGAAGAACGAGTACGTGGAAGAATTCATAGCGGACGCTGCGACTAACATGATCAATGCACTGACGAGAATGATGAACTCCAACCACCGACGGCATTCTCAGCCGGCAAACGACATAGACGACCTGACCAGTCCTAGTACCGAGCTGTGCAGTCCAAAGAAGGAAATTCTCCAGCGGATATTGACTGCAGCGTTGAACTGTTTATCTGAAAAGCCCGAGCCATCTGGCGACAGTACGTCCAAAGTGCCTGAGAGAGAACCGGACAAGAAAGACTGGATCCAATGCGGAGTCTGTGCGAAACGAACGCGTTTGCGGTGCGAAATGAAGTTGGTATTGACCTTCCTGACTGCCCCTATCTTATTCTAACACCGTGGCCAAGGAAACACCAGAAACGCCACGAGCGACCCTACGGTTGCACATTCCCTAAGTGCAGCAAGACATTCGGCAGCAAGGCGGACTGGAAACGGCACGAGAACTCGCAGCATTATCACATCCAAAGCTGGTACTGTACCTTGTGCGATCCGACCAAGGGGAAACGATACGTGAGGTGGTATTATCGTCAAGAGGTCTTCGTGCAGCATCTGAAAACGCATCATCACGTCGATAATGAAGGGGTGAGAGTTGCGGTCGCAAATAACCGTGTGGGAGAGAATGGACAGTCCCGATTTTGGTGCGGCTTCTGCAGGGAGATTATTCCTCTTCACAGCCAGGGTCGGGAAGCGTGGAGTGAGCGCTTCGACCATATCGATTTTGAGCACTTCCGTAGGGGGCAGCGGATCGGAGACTGGGTGCACTGTTGCCATTTGAGCGAGGATCAAGAACGCGAGGAAGCAAAGGGACGAAACATGGCCGGTGGAAGCGATGAGAGCCCGTTTGCCACAGATGACCATTCTGAGAATGAAAATGACAGCTGTAGTGATTGTTCATCGGACACTGTCCTTGAGGATGATGGGGTAGCTCTCGACCTGAAGACCTCGCGGCAGATGGTTTCTTGCGAGAAAGATTCTCCTTCGAAGAAGGCCTTGAAACTGGAGGATTCTTCCGAGCCTGGGCAATCACGAAAACGAAAACTTGACACGTTTGGGTCGATGGTAGATCCATATCAGCCCCACGCAGACGACGGATCCAAATCAAAGAGGAGAATCAGCGCTGCTATACCGCTACCACGGCAGTGAGCTCGCCGGTGGCGCGTCGTGTCAAGTTCGATAACTGACAGGACTTTCCCGACGAAATGGCAGCCTTTTGGTTGCAGCGTCAAGGACAAACCCTTCCTGTGATGTTCGTCATATACATGAAGCACAAGTTATACATGATTTCACGTTATATTATGGCATTTTCAAAGCAGAAATGAGCGAAATATCATTCGCGCAGTCAAAATCCAACTGAGCATCGAAGATATTTCCATGGGACATGTGAGGTATATAGTACAGTAAACAAACAATCAGACAGAACCAAAGCCCTTAGGAAAGACAGACAGAGAGATATCATCACTTTTGTGCGTTCGTTAATTCCCTAGCCTTCTTCTCGAGGGCCGCGACCTCTTCTACTAGTCGTTAGAGGTGCATCATAGCAGATGACAAAGCAAGCGAGCGCAACTTACGATTTTTCTCAAGCTTGGATTCGTCCATCTCAAGCTTCAACCAAGTCCAGTAAATAACCTGGTAGGTGAAAATGGCCCCTAAGAATACCTTGGCGAAGGGACTCGCAAAGGTCTTGTATTGAGCGAGCTGGATCTCAGTTAGCTTGCCAGCCGCGCAATGCATTTATGTAAAGGATTTTGTCCGTCCTGGGATGATTGATGTAGAGTCATGCAGGCAGAGAGTCTGACACCTAGAGAAGTCACAAGCAAAGGGGAACACTGACCCCTTCTCTGTAAGCACTGGATCCTTTGGAAGCATTGAACCCGGGTCGTGTTGAAGTCAAGGTTCTCCGACCGGATGGGGCAGATCTGAGGAGAAGAGAGGAGGGCGCCGAGAAGCGCTGAGCTACCGAGCGAAAGAGCATTCTGATGTCTTTCCTGATTTATTTCCGCTTAGCTGAATTATATAGGAGAGTATGCAGTATATCCTAATGGCTCAACAGGCATATCATTTGCCAATGAGACGAGAAACATCACTGACTCAGCCGTCACATGATATCAAGCGCTGGGTGGTCCCGGAGCGGCTCTGCACCGAATGACGCATGGCATTAAGCGATAAGCGATGAGGAACATGCGGGGAGGACAATCCATAGACGATCAGCTTCGATGACATGAGGTTTATCATTGATTGTTCCTGACATCGCGATGTTGCTTCATTTGACCGACTTCCTACTGGCAGCCAACCATCGGAGAAAATGGGTTAAGAGCAAGTGAAACTGAACTCAGGCATCCACTTGACCTTGACAGCAATTATAATGCGATTTACGGACAATTTACACGGTGTTTTGGGGTCTGGCAAGGACAAGAGGATGAGAGCACAAACAGCATCCAAAAAGCGACTGTTTCCTTACCGCAAAGTGAGCGTGTGGTGCCGTGGAGCATTCAAGGCCCAGAACGGCACGTGCGTTGCCGAAATGGGCTGGTCACCGGTATTCCGCTAGTCTACAACAGGACTAGTTGTGGCGCATGAGCGCGGCTGTCTGTGTCCTGGTTATGTGTGGCTGGTGCCGGCAAGCAAAAAGGTGTCGCGAGTCTTTCCGCCCTTTTGGTGTATTGCTTATTCCACAGGGTCTAATATTGGAGCGGACATGCTGGCTGAGAGCATCGTTGCTGCTATTCCCAGGTGCTCCATCCATCTGTCAGCAAGTCTTTATTGACATTTGCTTCACCTCTCTGTCTGTGAAGAAGTGTTGCAAGTGACGCGTCTGCAGTTAGGGAGATTTACCTCACTCGACCTGACCCGCGCGCATTGGCGCTTCGCCGTCGACCCGTGCGAGAACTACCTTGCAACCCGTCGGCGAGGCCTAACATATCCGAGATTGATGTTTCAATGTCTGATTAATATTTAGACAATTACAGCTGTTTATGATATTGTCTCTTAGCCTTTAGTTTGAGGGGAAGGGGGCTTGTTTGGGCTTCGTTACCTTTCTATCCTCTCACTGGTCCATTAAGCACACTGTTTCTTGGTAAGTCACCGTTCACATCTTCGTCGGCTTTGTCTCAGGCACAGATAAAACCAAATAATCGTTCCTCTTTTCGTGGTCACTATCTGCTGGCCCACGTACCAGGTTGAGTTTGCTGACATGGTGACCGTGAGAAGAAGTCATTCTTTACGACGCCCATCGCGACACATCATGCCCCGACCAAAGCGCACTATCGAGGAATTGGCGAACAAGTCAGACTCGGATGACGAGAATTACAGCGATCGTCCAGTGCGCTCATCTCGCCACTCCGCTCGATCGAAGTCGAGGAAGAAGCCGAAGCCAACGAAGAAGAGAACGCGTCGCCATTCTGACGACGACATCACATCCGACGACGATGATATTCTAGATGATGCGGACGAGCTTGACTTCGATGATGAGGATGAAGAAGACCCGAACGCCCCGAAGAATGCAAGGGGCCTTACCGCTCGGAGGGCTGCGACTAATCGACCGGTATATAACGAGGGCGATTCCAGCAGCGTCGACGATGATTTCGGAGAGCCGGATGACTCTGAGCCCACCCGTTCGCCGAAGAAACGCAAAAGCACCGTCGTGACATTGAAAGTGAATGCTCTCAAACGCCAGCCTCTCCCTGAAAGCGGCAGGCGGATGACTCGCCGTACTCGTGACCCCTCAGAGGATATCGTCGCCCTCACGAACTCCGGTCGCCATATGGAGCTCGTGGAGCGAGGTACACACAGTCCGGAGATGGAAGCGCGGAGAAGCCGGCGTGGGTCTCGCGCCTCGAAACGTCTCAATTTTGGGCCTGAAAAGGTCGAAATCGATGAGAAACCGGAGGTATTCGAGCCCATAGAGGAGACTTCGATGGAGGTCAAGGCTTCGCAACCAGAGATCATGGAAAGCAATCACCAAGGAGATTTTGAGGAAGGTGTTCCATCGGGGCAGGACAGCGGCGAAGGTGCAGCAGAAGGCGACGAAGTTGGAGTCGTGCCCGAATCTGAGAACGGCGATGTGAAGCATCAGGAGGAGGACGATGAAGACGACGAGGGTCCAACAACGCGGAGGAGGAGGAGCAAGCCCAGTCGAAGTCAGCCCACTGAAGAGGCGCAGCCGGACGAAGAGGAGGGAGCACACCCACGTCGTTCCGGCCGCAAGAAACCCAGAAGCTCTCAGCGAAAGCGACAAGACGATGAGAGCGACTTTGAGCCTGAGGAAGACGAGTCGAATGACGACGATGATGAAGAGCTCTCTCAGTCCGGAAAATCACATGGATCACCGCGCAAAGCCAGTCAAGCTCGAGATGACGAGGAGCAGGATAGCACCGCCGGTCGGCGTCCTGGTTTACGCAAGAGAGCTTCTCGCTCCCGTGGACAGTCCGAAGTACGAGGGGATATTGCTGAGGAGCTTGCTGAGGAGTTGGAAGATCTCAGAGGGGATCGACCCCGCAGAAGGCTTCAGACAGATATCGTTTACGAGAAACCAAGACGCAGCCGGAAGGACGTCGACTACCGGATCATTCGACCAGACCTCATCCTGCCAATAGAGGAAGCCGAGAATGAGGTCAACGAGTCTCCTTCACGGCGAGGTCGAGGAGGCGGAGGCAGCAGTTGGCAGCGCACACTTTTCCCGACATATGGACCTTTTGGAGGCGGCGGACCACCAGCGATTCTGGCTCCTCCTGGCGCACCTGCTGCAACAGGGGGTGTTGATAGCGATAGTAGCGATGATGAAGTAATGCAACACCCCAAGGGCGCTGCGACTGGCGGCTCTGTGTCTGGCCCCCCAGGTGCAGGTCTTCTTCCTTCAGCGCAAACCCACGGAGCCGACCCTCTACAAGGTCCATCCGGAACACCTGCCAATTTAGGAAAAATCAAGGATAAGCAGGCGCTTGCTGATGCCGATCCCTTGGGTGTTGACGTTAATGTCAATTTCGACAGTGTCGGTGGCCTACAGGGGCATATCGACCAGTTGAAAGAGATGGTTTCCCTTCCGCTCCTTTACCCCGAGATCTTCCAACGTTTTCACATCGTGCCGCCAAGGGGTGTCCTCTTCCACGGACCCCCTGGGACAGGTAAAACGCTGTTGGCAAGGGCCTTGGCCAACAGTGTTAGCTCCGAGGGTCGCAAAGTTACATTCTACATGAGAAAGGGTGCGGATGCACTGAGTAAATGGGTCGGTGAGGCTGAAAGGCAGCTCCGGCTGCTGTTTGAAGAGGCTCGAAAGACTCAACCCAGCATCATCTTTTTTGACGAAATAGATGGTAAGTGCTCGCGCCGACTTCGAGGCTGTTATGTTGCTAACGCTCATCTGCTCTGCAGGACTGGCCCCCGTGAGATCAAGCAAGCAGGAACAGATTCATGCCTCCATCGTGTCGACCCTGTTGGCTTTAATGGATGGTATGGATGGCCGTGGCCAAGTGATTGTCATCGGAGCTACAAATCGACCGGACTCTATTGACCCTGCTCTGCGTCGTCCTGGCCGCTTCGATCGCGAGTTTTACTTCCCTTTGCCCAATACTGAAGGCCGGCGTGCAATCTTGGATATCCATACCAAAGGTTGGGATCCACCTCTCCCTGATCACATCAAGGACGAACTGGCGGAGATCACAAAGGGCTACGGCGGAGCCGATCTCCGTGCTCTTTGTACCGAGGCTGCTCTCAACGCAGTTCAGAGAAGATATCCTCAGATTTACAAGTCAGATCAGAAGCTTCTCATCGATCCTAAGAAGATCGATGTCACTCCGAAGGATTTCATGCTGGCTATCAAGAAGATTGTCCCTTCATCTGAGAGATCTGCCTCCTCTGGTGCTACTCCTCTCCCCAAGGTCGTGGAGCCTTTGCTTCGTCGACCATTATCCGATATCAAAACCATTTTATCCGAAATACTCCCACAAAGAAAGAGGCTCACAGCTCTCGAGGAAGCTCAATTTGAGGAACCCGAAGGGCCAAAAGGCTTTCGACGTGAGCAGATGCAGCAAGAGTTTGATACCTCCAGAGTGTACCGTCCCAGGATGTTGGTGCGTGGGCCTTTCGGCATGGGCCAGCAACATCTTGCAGGCGCCCTCCTCCATCATTTCGAGGGTCTGCACGTTCAA